ACACCGGGGATCGAACTCAGGTTGCTCGAGCACATTGAATTAAAGGCGAGCGCCCGGTATGAGAGAATGAACTGAGCTATCACTGCTCTCATATATATCGTAAATCATGTAGTAAAAATATTTTATTGTTAAAAAACAAAAAATTGGTCAAAAAAATGTCCCGGTGAATCATTTTTATCGTTTCTTCTCAGATCAACTTCGTTACTTTTCTTTCCAAACCAATAATAGTATTTTAACAATGAACTGTAATAATGAAATAGTTTAAACATTTGAATTTGAATTTATGCTTTAATGAGCAATCACAACAGAAATGAAAATTCACCACATTTCTGGAGTAAAAATCGCTCCGGCGACAAATTGTTAATTAAATTACACAAACAAGCAGATGGGACTCGATCGTCAAGTTTCGCGGCGCGCACGTGTCCTCAAGTTATTCGGCTAACTTGTCCCAAACATTAATTTCGTTGTAACGATTTTTTGATCGTGTAATAAGTAGTACCCGGAGGACTTTTTTTTTTTGGTAAATCGAGTGTTTTGGAAATTACATTTAGATACAAATTACTGAGTAATGAAATATGCATAATATTTTTCGATCTTATCGACGTAATAATAAGAAAATATTTACTGATGTTTTTCACAAAAGAAAGAACTTTAAAAAAAAGGGAAAAAAATAACAAAATAACAAAATCGACAAAAAATTTAAAACAAAGAAAGCAATGATCTGGAATCGAAAAAAAAGAAAAAAAATAAATGTGTAAATGATCGTGATACGAACCACGGCCTTCTGTTTCGTGGCTGTTTATTAGCGGCCGCCCGATTACCGACCGAGCTATTATAACATTGTTTTTTCGGTGAAATTTACCGTCGTATTCGAATAATATTTTTCATTCCCTGAAAACAGGGATAAAAGGACATTTTCTGAGACCTAGCTAGATCGATTTTTCGCCTCCGAATCTACGCATATACTAAAATTCATGAAAATCGTTGGAGCCGTTTCCGAGATTCCGATTATATATATATATATATATATATATATATATATATATATATATATATATATATATATATACAAGAATTGCTCGTTTAAAGGATAAGATTCAGTAAAGTGAAACGTATCTCAGGCCCTTTGTGATTCAGCTGTAAAAAACGTATATCATGTAATTGTACTTACATGTGAGAAAGTGGCAAACGAGATGGCCTCTCACCTGATGTTAAGTGATAGCCGCCACCCATGGACATTTGCTACAACTGGAGTGTTGCATATGCGTTGCGACCTTTAAATAAAGTGCCACCGTTAATAAAGTGGGCCCCGGCTACCTCACTCACCAGACGTAACGCAAAAGCATAACACTTTTACTTCACGCCGGTCTTCTGTGAGGTCGTGGTTGGTTATAACTATACCTTTGTTGGTTTATTTCTCATTTAATGTTCCGCCGATTCAGGGGTGAAATTAAAGAAACTAGGTTCAGGATCAAGGAAAAGTGTTAAAAACCATATTATAAAAGAAGAAAGAAAGAAAGAAGAACTTTGTTTGGCACAAAACAGATTAACGTTTCCATCGATCGCTCGACAACTGTCTGATAAGTCAACTGTCTTACTATTATAATAAACTGAATTAAATTAAAATAATTTTTATGATGACTGTCGTGAAAACCAATGCATAAAAAACGTTTTCATTAAGTATATTTATAAAATACCGCATATCTAGAATCTGCGCTCATTCCCTTTTATTGTTAATTTAAAATTGTATTGCGCTCCTAAAACTTGTAAAATACCATAATATAATTCAACACCTTGCGGTGAATTTGTCAAGGATCGCATGTAACGCAACAATGTTATGGATGCGACGATTATTTTTTGAAGAAACTAATTGCAAATAGTCAATATTGTATTTATAACGATACGATTTATTTTCGCGTGTTGATTTTTAAATTTTTATGTCGTAAATTTTAGAAACGTTAATTTTAGGAGGAGGAAAATTCCTTTGAATACATCTAAGCCCAGGAGATTACTACAGAAATTTCTCAGTAAGATTCTAAAGAAATTTATGTTAACAAAATATTTTTTAGGCAAAAAAATTACTTTATGATAACATTCTCCTGTGTTGTAAGGACGTTTTTGCAAACATAAATTTCATGTGAACAAACACCCAGATACGGAAATATCTATGGGTCACACAAACAGTGGTCCCGTGTGGGGATCGAATTCTTTGCCATAATTTGCCGAAATTTATGCACAGTGTAAAAAAAATAAACCATATCCACGCGTTTGAACAAAATTTTTATCCTGTGTAGAAGAGAGGAACGTGTGACCTTATTTAGAAGATAGCATCGAGAACATGAGTTGCGTGGAGATTCTACGGACAATGTTTATATTAAATCTCACAATTTTTTTTTGTACCTGCGACTGAATTGTACCCCAATATATAATTAATGATCAATATATAATCAGATTATTCTATTCGATGAGAAAAAGTATCTATTTCAACCTTAGTGAGAAATGTAATTTATTCAACAACTTTTTAATGTGTATAATGCTAGTTGTGTATTCTAACCTGAAGTGGACAGGAAAAAATGATGTTTTCGCAAACTATCTCAGAAAGTATCACAGCTAATTTATGATCAGAAACTCATATTCGGACCATAATTACCTTTTCAAATGCCTATTACGATTTTACCTAATTGTTGTCAGAAAGAAATAAACAAATGTAAAAAAGTCTGTGACTTATAAAAAGGCTTTGGTGGCTTCAAGAATTGAAAGTGAAAACCTTAAATAGCCCCAATAGACAATTACAATATGCGCGGTAAACACATGTTACAAGTATACCGTTACTAGCTGCTGCCCGCGACTACGTCTGCGTAGAGGGGTGAAAATTTAGGGTTGTATGTATTTTTGTATGCTGTATCATAAAAAAATAAAAACAAAAAATTTTATATAAAAGAAATAATTAGGCGTGGACCACCATTAACATTTAGCGGGATGAAAAATAGATGTCTCATTCTCCACCCTGGCCGATATGCACACAAAATGTCACGAATTCCGGTCGAGCCGTTTCGGTGTAGTTCAATTATAAACACGGTGACACGAGAATTTTATATATTAGATTCAACGAATAACACAGTCGACGGCTATTAATGTCACAGTCCACATATCGGATAGGTTTTAACCAAAATCCCTCATTCTTTTAATACATGTATGTCATGTCTGACTGTGCTTAGGTAGAGTCATCAAGCTCGTAAAAACCTAGCCTCTCTTGCATCTATGAAGCATATTATAGTCTACGATTTGTGGATACACGTAGCTAATGCTTATATTTTTTGTTTCTTGAGCTTGATTAATAAAAAACGAAATTAGATATGTACATTCCGTAAAATAGTTTAATTTTTACAGGAAAAGAAACTTTTTATTTTACTGTTTCAGTTATACTGTGAATAAAAATGTCGCATTGGAATGTTTCAACTATCTACAATTTCCATAGTTTATTACAAGGCATAAATCATAACACTAACACGACTTATCTCCTCAGCCATTGATCTAGTTCAAATTTGCTTGTTCAGTAGCCCCCGGGGGCAATAGTCATACTAAATTGTACATGAAATTTAATGCAAATTAGCTGAAAAGTAAATTGCCTTATGGCAGTGCTTCAAGCTCTCAACAAAAGCATACACCTCGAAAATTTTCTTTGCTCGTAGTCATCAAAACTGATTTATAACACTGAAGTTATCAACACTGAATGATATTTACAGCATAGAAAAGAAAGACTGACTCTACAACTCTAAAGCGCCGCATTTCGCCTCGGCAATTGATTCCGCAAATATCAATACACTTCATTATATTATACGGCCAACCGATCGCTTAGGGAAAGAAAGTCAAGTACCTACAAGTCACATTCAACCCTAGAACGACATTCATCACATACAGTGCAGCTTTCATAAATTTCGCGACAGTTTTTATTTTACCCATACCGTTTTTGTTTTACCCATTGTATATTTATAAGCCTTATTCACCAGTGCGTTGTAACGATCATCCAATTAACGTCATGCTTGCCAACGTCTTATGTCCACAGTCTTGAAAAACTTCACCAGTTTTTATTCTAGAAATAAACGTTATTTTTCCGGAACCTTCCACATAAAAAGACGATTGAAATTCGGCTCTATTAAAAAGGGCAATTAGCGCGATGAATAAATCATTAGTAACACCTGTGTTTTGATGTGCTTTATCGTGAATTATTTACGTTAAGTTTAAGTTCGATTACCACAAGAAAGGTCACTTGCATACATTTTTTCTATCATAATGAGTATCTTTTTGTACAGACCTTCATATAAATAAATTATACAAGGGACAAGCAAACAATGAAGAATTCACATAACCGTTAAAACTTAGAAAGTGTAGTTAACATTTATTTAAACTTTAGAAGTGTCTGTCTCTATGCTATCGTAAAAAAGGCAATAAAGAAAATTAAAATATGCCGTTATATTATATTACATAAATGAATAAAGCCGTAATAGAGTTCTCGCATCACAACGAATAAAATAGCATTAAGTATGCTCCACTTTTAAATCGTTGTTATGTCATCATGCCGTAACGCGATGAATCGTTTAGCAACATGTATTGTGTTAGATTGATGGTAAAATGTAAAATGTCAAGGCCTCCCACCGATATCCTTATCATTGGTCGTTTTACAGAGTCCAGGCGACACGTATAGGGTATCTATATTTATACTTGAAATACTTCTCTTCTATACTTCAAATAGTCAAAATTCAAATTCAAAATATCTTTATTAATAGTTATATTATAGTTCTTATGAAACGTCGAAATTTTACATAGAATTCAGAATTAATGATTTATAGTTCTGCTCTTATCTTCGCAAACAATAAAATGGTTAGTTCCTCAATGTATACCATATTAGATTCATCTATAAATTTAATGATATAAGATGCATCGATGACTCTTTTGTAAATACATCTTTATGATTGTCGAAATAGCAAACAATTAATTCATGCATTCATTTGAAAAACGATGTACCCCTTAGGTCCCATTCCCTGCAGAGGATGATATTTCAACTGAAACAAACCGACAGTAATTGTATTACAGTCATGGCAAAGCTCCCGGTGAATAGAAACATTCCAGTTGTATTACAACGAAGACACCAAAATTAGTTTTGTAAGATACAACCATAAGAAAAAATTTACTCGTTGGCTCAAAAATAAAATTAGTGACCGCATTATGGAGCAAAATAACGAGTTCCATAAAATCGAAAAAGGTTTGACACTCTTAGGTATTTAGCGAGAAGAAAAAAAATTATTATTAAGAAAAATATTAAAAGTAATACTTTTTATTCAACCGTAAACTTAAGAAAAAAGTTTTTTACAATATGTTAAGAGTATCATATACAATCGTTGGTCTGTGTTACATCGGATTAAAATCACTTTTATTAGTATTTATATTTCGTAATATTATAATACTGTGGATTGCCGAGACCTCGTTTAGGACTCACTAAGGAATTTTATATCTACATTTACATTAGAAATCTTCACCTGTTGTTGTGAATATATGTTTTTATGTTCTGTGAACCTTTGTAAAATTAAAAATAATCATAGATAGAAAATCTAATTATTAATTTATATACACTGCTTCTTCTTAATCAAAGTCAGCAATAAAATCAAAACAAAAGTTGTCGCTTATTAATAGTCAAGTTGTTGTTGTGGTATGTAAGCAAAAAACATTGCTACATACATAACTGCAACAACTATCATAGAAATAAAATTGACGACAATAGCTAAGTCATTCCAAACCGTTTTATATTTTATTGTGACGTCATCGTTTTCATAACCACTCACATTAGCCTCCCACTTGGGCCACACCAAGTACTTTCCGTACGAATCGATTATTTTTTCCGTCGTCATCAGAATAATATTGGATGGTGGGCTGCATTTCCTTCTTAGGTAGCGTAAAAGGAACGTTATTCCGATGGCAATTAAAGTCAAAATTATTGAAGTTCGCAGATACAACAGAACTGTTGGTGTATCGGCGCCACTATTTGGTATATCACTGCTGATCTCTTGCAGGAAGAAGAACTGGTTAAGTAGACTGAAACAGAGCAGACCCAAGCGGGTTCCGTCGTCGAAGTTCAGCGCCATGCACATGAGAGTTAGAAGTGTAAGCACTAGTGGGGGCACCACTATGATCGCGGCCAACCCCTCGCCTTGGCGCTCCAGCATGAAGTTGAGGTAGAACCTCGAAGCGTTTGGATCTTCGCGTTTCGTGTGCTCGATTATGTTCCAGCCAGGGCCGTACTCGGCACCTAACAGCACTGTGCGGGAAGAGTTGAAAGTAAAAGTGACGCGATCCTTCTTAGAACGGGTGCCGAACTCGAACGTGCAATTTTGCGTGTCGTACGGCCAGTCTTTGAGTCTCGTACTGCAGACGGAGTGGTGGAGGACCCGCGGTATGCACTCGACCCTACCAGCATTACTGATGCGGCACTGGCTCACGTACAATTCGATGTCCTCGAAACCGGCCAACCTGCTGGCGCTGTACAGACGCAGAATGGGCGTCCAGATAAGCATGCTGGGTAGGAGAACCTCGGCGATGCCGTCGTACTTCGCCGGGTCCCAAACGAGCCTCGGGTCGTTCCAGGAGAGTCGGAGCCAAGTGTTTATATAAAAGTTTTCCTCTTTGCTACCGAAGTAGAACGATTTCAAGATGAACTTGAGAGCTACTTGGGTGTTGTTGACATCTGGCGGTTCGTGGCGGTCGCTACAGCCAATGAGATCCTTTCGCAGCTGAGTCTCCCACGCCGTTTTGGGTGCACGATTGTCTATAACGCAGTCCTTGGTTTGACACGAATGTATGAGAAAAATCGAAAGGGCACATCTGATCACATTCATGTTCACAAATAAAATGCAACGTATTATAGTTCGGGTCGAACGAAAATTCAATACCCATCCGCCCCTCCCACATGGCTCGTACGCCTTACATGTCTCGTGATAACAGTTTTAGAACAATGTGTTCTAATCACATGAATAATTTTTTTTATGTATAAAAATACACATAATAATATCTATTTTTATAGTTACTACTTACAGTTTTTATGGTGACTTATTACAGTTTCTAAAAACGTTAGTCGCACATTTGGAGTTTTTTTTTGTGAATAATACGCTAAACCATTAGTTAGAAGTACCAATAACTTTAATTCTCCAAAAACAAAATGAACTTTTTTTACTTCTTTGTAACCTGGTTAAAGTGGTGTTTTGTATGCCAATATCAAATACGCTCTTTTAAAACTGGTAAAATAAAAGCATAAAAGCATATAGGTGGACCCAATTTAATCAATATGGCTAAAAATTAAAAACAATCCTAATGTCAAATCAAAACTATCATTGACTAGTAGATTTTACGTCATAATTTTTTTTATCAAATTATAATACAAATTGGTAACCGTCGACCGTCACAAAAATTGCATTAACGAAGAAACTTCCCAATAAGTCAAGATTAATGCTCGAATGATTTGAGCTTTTAGTCATATCCGAGTTATTTGTCCCCGAGCCAGGATATAATGAATCAGTGGAATATTTCACGGGATGCTTTTCACTTATTAAATTCCTCCACCAGTCCCGGTACCTCAGCCGGGACAAAGAGCTTTGATTAGTTATTATGAGTATCGTAGCGGTCTTGTCTTTTACCTAGTATACGCCTAAGTCAACATTAATAAATTTATATTAAACATTCTGGTAACAGAGCTTAAATAAAAACTATTATTTTTAATAAAAGAAAACTCACCAATAGAGCGAATGTTTGGCTTTAATATCACTCTGTCAATTATACAGACTTCATTCGCTCAGCATATAACTAAAGTTTATTGTTCGCCTAATTCTTCGGCCCTGAATATTAAAATAAAAAAATATGTGAGTGTAATGAATATAATAAACTGGGAACATTTAAAAAACATCGCATATTTATCTATTGATCACCTAATTCTTCAACTCTGTATATCAAAATTAAAAAAAATTGTGAGTGTAACGGATAAAATCCACTGTAGATAGTTAACAAACATCGCGTATTAATAGATTCGAGCCAACCCTTCTGGATTATTGGGCAAGAAGCTACTCACTGAAAAGTCTACTCATCAATGAAAATTAGCAATCATTTAAGATGCTTTAAACTGAATACGGCAAAAGCTTTTATTTCTAAATTAGACATTTTGTCAAACAAAGCATTTCAAATTCATTTATTTACCAATTTGTAAAACTTCCTTGTATTGATTGAAGTATTGTGTGGTGATGAAGATTGAAGTGGGATTTTTGGGTGATTTACCCGATTAGTGTAGTCGGTAGTACACCTGCCTCTCCGGCCTGAGGGTGTGGGTTCGTTCCCCACTACTAGAAAAATATTGTGTGCTGAACATGGTATTTTTTTAGTGTCTGGGGTGTTTATATATTTATATATGTATTTATCTACAAAAGAAAAGGATGTTTACCAGTTATCTAGTACCCACATTACAAGCGCTGCTTAGTTTGGGACTAGAAAACGTTGTGTAAAAATGTGTCCTAAATATTTTAATTTTTTTATTTCTTGGATTCATTTTGCCCAGCAGTGGAACATATATAGGCTGTCACTTTGGTTTACTCTACTTTTAAACTGTTAACATGCAATATAGTAAGGAACAAGTGTGTTAGTGTTTGCAGATAACAGTTGAATACTAACGAGAATATTTTACGCTTTGATTATATACAAGTATTTAATGAAAGACCTTTCGATTTCTAAGCTAGTTTTCTAAGCTTGTTCATCTCTGTCTAATGCACTTTCTTGTCTTGTACTTTGTTAAGTGTTCTTATGATGTACAGAATTGATATTTTGAAATAATTGAATTATTAAATGCCAATAGATTTAAATAAGGAAAAAGCCTGATGTTGTATTTAAATAAATAACGAATTTTAAAGAATTTATATACGTTATTTAATACCTAGTCACCGCTGGTCATCTAAGTATAGAGACAGTTGCAACTTTAGACATTGTGTAATGCAAGCTGCATGAAACGTTGAATGTTTATTTATTTATTTGATTTTTAAGGATGATTCGAGACATTCATAAAAATGTCTCTACCAATATTAGTTTTATTAACGAAGGTTTGAAAGTTTTACTTTTTTTGGAAAATACCTTAGCCTTTTTCTCGTATTAGTATTAACATTTCTGTATTTTAATACGAAGGGAAGATTTTTTAATGTAATACTTTTAGTGAGCGAGTGTCTCACATCGTTGCAGTAAGTTGACATTTTGATGACTCCGTGCCGCAGTTGGCAAGGTATTGTCTTCGGCGCCGGGGGTCGTGGGTTAGATTTCCACACGGGACAACTATTTGTGTGACCCACAGATAATTGGTTAGGTTCCGTGTGTTTGTCCACGTTAAATTTATATATATATTAAACGTTCTTACAACATAGGGTAATGTTATCCTACAGTATGGGCAATGTTTTAAAACAAAAAAAAATATTATCGCGCATTTTCAGCTTCTTAGATTTGAAGAACTATTCACGATCGAGAAAACTGATGCTCTAAGTAATATGTATATAGATTTTAAAATCTAAATATATTTAATATAAAAAAACTATATCTTGAGCAGTGTAAAAGTAAAACCAAAACATTTCCAGCTTATTGCCGTTCATAATAAACGCCAAACTGTAATGAAAAGAGTTTAACAATTTCCCATTCGCTGTGAACGGAGCTAACTGGTATAAATTGATTAAGGTTTTAAGCTCAACGCTTGGAATGTGACGGTTTTATAAATTAGTCCGCATTTTGCTCTGAAATTTTCCAATGTATAAAATATAGCCGGGAACGCTTGCACTGTAATATGCCACTATTATTTGTTGTTGAAGCGTTTACACACTTAATTTTATATTCAGACATTAAGTTCTAGGTCTTCTGAGGATGGTAAAGCAGTTTATAACTCGCTGATATTTTGGTACTTCAACCATTAATTTATTTTAATTACAACACAAATCGAAGAAATTTGTGAAATTTCTAGCACCTAGTGCCAAGCCAAGATGGTAGCGGGTGCAATACACAACCTGAGCTTCAGGAACAAAGAGAGAAAGTTCGCCACCACTATGTAGGGGTCACTAAATTCATAGCCTCATTAATTTATTAAATTCTAATCTAGGTTGAAGGTTTCTAAATAAAAAAAAATCCGAGATCTACGATATGGCGAGTGCTTGAAGTGATGTTTGTCCTACGCAATTAAACTTTCAGCAAAATTGCCTCCAACATTGCATACACAATTTAGTCAGACTGTTCGTCCCCGAGGTAAACACTGAACAGGGAAATTTAAACTAGTTTAGTATCAGATGGGATAGGTTGTATTGGAGTCCTGATTTATGTTCTGTGATAAGGACCTGAGATTTGTTCAACTGTTTTTATATAGTTCATAAAAAAATAATTTTACTTGTTAAATAAAATGTTTCCATGTCTTTTGTAGCGTTGAATTCAAATTCCCGGTCCGTGTATAAAAAGTGTACGTAAGAAGTTTCACTTCTTTAGCGTAACAAAAGAAAAATAACAAAATTTTATCAAAATTTTGATCTAGAGAGTATTCATTCTTTATGAAAAAGACATATGCAATCATTATTTGCAATCGATAACGGTTGATCAGTGTTTCAGAAACCGATCGTCCGCTCTTTACGCAATTTAGTGGTATTAATTTTCAACAGCAGCCACGTCCTACAAAATTCATTTATGCGTTATTTTTATTACGCTTCCGAAGAATATATTAAATTATATACCTTAATTCAATGAATATATATATATATATATACTAATGTATATGATTAGTATGAAGACTAATTTCAAATATCTTACCGCTATTAGACTTTTTTGCACTTTTCTACTTAAAACTGATCTACTCGTCTGTCCCTGTGTGCCCTGCCGCTTGCAGCTTTTGTCCATTCGCCTCACACACACACAGAAAGAAGGGTGGCGTGAGGTAGACGTATTTTGATAATTTCTTGTATTTACGCGATTTATCGCGTTTATTTTTTTTTTTAGTTTCATTTATAATTTGTAGACGTATTTTTCTTTTGCGTTTCGTCTGATGTGCTAGATACCTGACGACCATTTTTTTGTTTATGGGTAGCGGTAATCACTTCACATCAGGTGAATCCCTAAAATGCTTGCCATCTTTTCATGAAAAAAATAACTGGCCAAGTGCGAGTCGGACTCGCGCCCGAGGAGTTCCGTACCATTAACTATAAAAGGGTAAAAAAAATCATGTCTGTTGTATAGGACCCCACTTAAATATTTTATTATTCTGTTTTAGTATTTGTTGTTATAGCGGCAACAGAAATACATCATCTGTGACAATTTGAACTGTCTAACTATCACGGTTCATGAGATATAAGCATGGTGACATGGGGACAGACAGCGGAGTCTTATTTATAGGGTCCCGTTTTACCCTTTGGATACGGAACCCTAAAAAGACGTTGTGTGCATTGAAGTTTGTTCATAGTTTTATATTATACGCAAGATAAGAACAGATATACCGCAGCTGAGAAGGGTCTCTCGACACATGTGTCGCTGTTCTACTATCCAAGTAGTAATGTGCTTAAACTTCTTGCCAACTATTCTTGGCGTCATTCCAAATGGTTCAATCTTTCAAGCTTAACAGATATCTATACCAATATTTCAGTGTTAAATTTTGGAACTGGATTATAGTTTTTTTTTTTTACAGACAAGGAGACAAATAATTTCGTAATCAGTGATACTCAACATCAGAGGAGTCGCAAATGCGTTCAAAGTATAAGCTTGCCTTTTCACAAGATATAAGAGTTCAATATTGAAAAGTGTCTTTATGTAACTTTATCTCTCAAGGGTGTTTTATGTCGGTACGCCATTA